GAGTGATCATGGGTCTCTTGACTGCATCTCTGATCAGTCTTCTCCTTGTTTGAGATGAAAGTTTGGAGGGACGGCCGGGTCTTGGTAGATTTGCAGTGGTCTGATACTCCTTCCATTTCAATATAATTGCTTGCACAGTGCTCCTTAAAAAAAATGCTACACAAATTGCTTGCAAGGAATGGCCAAAAGTTGTGGTGTTTCTGGTGAATCACAGACATAATATCTAACAGTTGTAGACTCCTGTAGAACAACGTGACGTGTAGTCAGCTGAGGCCCGGCCTCACCAAAGATTATGGAAAGGAAAAAGAATAACATGGAAACAATAATACTTGGTCACTTTATCAAGTGATGTGTGCTATTGTATTATTTCAATGGAACTTTCCTTTGTATAAATTTATATTTACCTCAAAATTGAAGATTTTTGTCATATTTGTCTCATATTTGACAGAGCGGCGCGCTGTGAGGCGAGCCTCACTAGGGAGACGTAAAAGCTACAGCTCACTGTGGGAGAAGCCCGTGCAGTGCTATTTAACTGTTTTCTCTCTTTATCGCAGCTTACAAAGTTATAATGCATTGGCTTTATATAGCGCTTTTTTGGACACAAAGACACTTTACATGTCATTATTCTTTCACTCCATACACGGTGGTGATAAACTACTCCTGTAGCCACAGCTGCCCTGGGGCACACTGACAGAAGCGAGGCAACCAGTATGTGCCATCGGCCTCTCCGACCACCACCAACCATTCACACACACCAGACTCATTCTAGGCAATGGGGCTAAAGTGTCTTGCCTAAGGGCACAACGTCAGTTTGGCTCTTTACAGCCACAGCCGCCCCACTGTGCCATCAGGTGTTCCCAGAGGTTACGTCTTGCCAAGGACACAACGACAGCAGACAGTGGGAGTCGATGGTGAAAGTCTTGAAGTGGGCTCGAACCCACAACCTTCTGGCTCAAAGCCAATGCCCTACCAACTGAGCTACTGTCGCCTTAAAGTTCAAACCTATTTCCTTTACAATCTACATATCTACAGTTGAGAGGATGGGTCTTAAATTGTGTTTTTTACAACAAATATGGGTCTTAATCACGCTCAACCACAGCTTGTAATGTCACCAAGTGAGGCCAGCCTCAGAGTATAGGGCGCTTGTGAGCACAGAATTTGGTTGCATCCAATTCCATCAGAAAGCTCCTTTCTTGTTCTTCCTCTGCTAAGGGCAGGTACAGGTTTGGCTAACATACATGTAACACGTTTTAATATGATCTAAAAGCCACTTAGGGGAATGTTATGCTTCCAATGATGATAGGAATGATAAGGAAGAGAGGTGAAGGGGAAGAAAGGTTATTTTTAGAAATCAGATGCACCCAAGAGTTGGCTGCAGCTAGCGAAACACGTCTAGGAGACACCTGTTTTGTTTGACTTTTATTACTCATTGTACTTATTTACAAATGGAGGATTACAAATATATACACTCAAAGTATTAGCTGGACTTAAACATGAAACTGGTTTGAAGTGAAGTGGTGTATGGAGTTCATGTATAAGGTAACACCCTAAACACACTTTTAAATGGTCTTCGAACATGAGAGATATTCTGCTGTTGTCAAAGAAATTGTGAATAAGCCGCTTTGTAGGTCCTGTAGATGTATTTGTAAGTAAGTAAGTAAGTAAGTAATTAATGTTTATTTGATATATATGTTCATCTGATAGGGGTGAAGTCAGTGCCTCACCAAGCACCGACCTGACCGCGCGTCACTGCCTAACGTACACTGACCCTTTGACTCTTTGAGCTTTGTTGGTTTAACTCCTGATTCCTAAATTGTCCCAGAACCTGCTTCTCCTGTTCTGTGTGTTGTCTTAGTGAATTTGCAGATTAGTGTAGCTGCGATAGAAGAGACGGACTCAGGACATGTGAGGAAGTGTGACTCATACCTCAGGAATGGAGGGGAGCCCCTGGCTGAGGCTCCACCCGCAGCCTCATGGGAGTTGAAGTCTTCCTGGTGTTCGGAGATGGAGTGTTTATTACACAGAGGTGTGGACAGAGCTACATAAACCAAAGATAGGGAGGATTAGTGAATTCTGCTTTGAGCTATTTGTCAGCTATTTTTATGTTTCTATGTCGGGGTCAGGGTGATAGGACAAATAACTAACTATATCACAATATGCAAAGGAATTATCATAATAACAATACATAAAAAAGAGAGCACTTTGAAATTGAATTGTATTTTATTATAAGAGGAATGCATTATCTAAATCAGGGGTTTCAAACTAATTTTGGTCCTGGGGTCATATACAACCTAATTGGATCTCAACTGGGCCAGACCAGAAGATGCTCTACAAAAATACCCAAAAACGGTACAAAGTCCAACTTTTTGTGCACATAAACACATTTATTTAAAACTTCCTTTAAAACACTGTCCTTTACTTCTCAATCAGTTTCAACTGTAAATCTGTTGCAAACTTAAATGTAACAGTGTGTTTTTCATAGTGTAAATAATGTAATGTATTTACAATATTACATTGTAAATGGCATTTCACAATATTTATATTAATATTTGTATGTAAGCTTTGTTTTAAGGCAGAGAAAACGTGCTCACAAAGGTAAAGTAGGTAGATTGAAAAAAGCACTTTAACATAGCATCTTCAGTATGGTAAGGAAGTCCACGGTTATGTTATTGTCACAGAGAAAGCATCAAACTGACCATGATTCAGTTGAAATAAACAAAACAACTTCCATAACGTGATCCATTCTTAACGACTTGCAGCACAGTGTCTCTGTGTAAAATACAGTCAAATGTCCAAAAATCATCACCTCCATTTGCAGCTTTGTTACAACACCTGCCTTTATCATCGATAACAGGCTGAGAGCGCAGGACCAGTCCACACTGTCCAACGCACCAGCAGCAGCACCAGCAACAGCAGCAGCACCAGCAGCAGTGCTCAAAACTCCTCTGTGATAGTTTCAGTAACACCACCAATGAAAATGCCACATCAGTAACATCAGTCTCTCATCAATGGCAACATGATGTTGGTAAAAGCGTGTGGTTTCTCAGACCATGTCTCCCTCACTGTGCGGCTGCGATGCTAATGCTATGTTGTTAGCACTCAGGTAGCTTGTCTTTACAGCAGCATCACTAATCTCTCGCTCTGGGCACAAACAGACACGTTTATCTTCAGTCTTCTCAATTCACCGCTCAAAGTGCCATATTTTTTGCCGAGTCTCGTAGTTTAAGATGATATTCCTTCAGCACCGCTACTTGTTGGATGACACCAAGCATACCGGGGTTTCATTCTCCTCCGCAAACAAATAAGAATTACTCCACTTTTTTTGTTGAAAAACCCGACACTCAATGTCCACTTTTCGCCTTTTTGACAGAGACATTTTGCTGAGGTTGTCAGTCACAGAACACGCTCTGGTGGAGCCACTACAGATGCACTCGACTTGCTGCTGAGCTCAGCGTTGCGGCACAGATTTTTTATTATTTTTTATTATTATCATTTTACATAAATGAGCCGTGGGCCGTGTCAAATCTCTTGGCGGGCCGCATCCGGCCCGCAGGCCGCATGAATGACACCCCTGATCTAAATTAAGTACTTTTGATAATAACTATATTCAAAGCAATATACTGGGGCCTCTAACCGTCTGTGATGTATACAGGGGCCTCTAATATGGAAGATTTTTTGTGTAATCAGATTTTGAATTTTAAATGAGCTTGAATTTTTCCATTTGAAATTATTAACCTTGAAAAAATGTGTCCCTAAAAATTCAGTTTACAAATGTCAATGTGATTAAAATTTCAAAATGACATATGATAGTGGAATTGTTGTTGGGTTATCATTAAAGTGAATGTAAGTATATTCAGTTTAGACAACTTTTGATTCACCTTCAAAATATTCAATATGTTTATTTTTGAGCCTAAAATTCAATGCGCTGTGAAATTCAATGAAAAAAAAGATGTATTATTTGTTCCATCAAAAATAGAATTTTAAATTCATCTGAATTCATCTATTCGAAGTTTTCAACATCTTGAATATTTTTGTCTGCAAATTTCAGTCACTGATTATCAATGTCATAATATTTTTCATTAAAAAAAAAGAGGCATATTTTTTCAAGAGCTTAAAGTAGCAATGTGCAATATTTGCATGTCAAGTCATCATTAAATGGCCCCAATATTTCAAAAGGCATTATTAACTCATTGAGTGCCACAAACGTAATTTTACGTACTGTGCCCCCATGCGTTGAGAGCATAGACTGTATATATTAACTGTTATGATCAGTAGATTACTGGAGGTTACCACTAGGTGGCGTTGTTGATACGCATGACGTTATGCAGAGAGTGCTGTAATGACCTAGAGATGAACATGATAAAAAGTAGCTCCCTGTAAAACTCGTTTGGATTATTAAAACACGAACACAACATGGTACCAGGAGTAAACTAAGTAGCTGAGAAGCCGCCGGAGAAGTCGACATGGATTTGAAACCGCCAGAAAACTTGAAGTTGACGGGAAATGTGGACGAAAATTGGCGAAGCTTCAAGCAGCAGTTTAGCCTCTATGTCACCGCGATGGGACTGGAAACCAAGCCTGACACGAGGAAGGTAGCGCTTTTGCTAACATTAGCAGGGCCGCACGCCATTGAAGTGTACAATACGTTCGTCTTTGATGCACAGGGAGACAATGAAAAACTGGATGTGGTGCTCGCTAAGTTTGAAGCTCACTGTACTCCAAAGAAAAACGAGACATATGAAAGATATATGTTTAGGTCTCGTGTGCAGTGTCAAAATGAGCCTTTTGACAGTTTTCTGACCGCACTACGGCTGAAGGCGCAGTCGTGTGGTTTTGGGCCATTGAAAGACTCACTCGTGAGGGATCAAATCGTTTTTGGCGTTGAAGACAAAAAGTTAAGAGAAAGACTTCTTCGCGAGACGGATTTGACACTCGAGGCTGCCATTAAGATTTGCCAAGCAAGTGAACTGTCACAAAAGCATATAAAATCCTTCAGTGAGATGACCACCGTAGCACCTGTGAGTGACGGAGCGGTGGTCGGTGCAGTATCGAGAGGACGCCGCCAGCAGCGCACAGCACAGCGGACCGAGGACGTCACGTTCTTCTGCAAGCGCTTGGCGACTCAACACAAGCCAAGGCAATGTCCCGCTTTTGGTAAAGTGTGCTCTTACTGCCACGGGAAGAATCATTTTGCCAAGCAATGTTTCTCCAAAAAGAAAGAGGGAAAAAGGGGCAAGAATGTAAACGTGGTGGACGATGCTGAGTCTGACACAGATCTAAGTGATACGTTCTTTGTGGGTATGGTAAATATTGAAAATGAACAGGAAAATGTGAACAGTGTTGCAGATAAATGGGTGGCTCCTCTGCAAATAAATGGAGCTATAATAACAATGAGACTGGACACTGGTGCAAAAGCTAATCTGATTAGTATGTCTGATATTAGAGAAATGCAGATAAAGCCACATTTGTATGTGAAGAAAGCAGCTCTGAAAGACTACAATGGAAAAGTAATAGAGTGTTTCGGCTCATGCAAATTGAATGTAACTGTAAAAGGTAAAGTACACAATGTGATATTTTCAGTGGTTAATGAAAAATGTGAATCACTGTTAGGAGATAAATCATGTGAACAGTTAGGGCTGGTAAAGAGAGTGTACTGCATTGATAAAAGTTCCAAATCTGAAACAGATCAAATAGTAAAGCAGTATTCAGATGTGTTCAAAGGGTTTGGTACACTACCCTTTACATATAAAATACAGCTAAAAGAAGGAGCACAGCCAGTTGTACATGCACCTCGCAGGGTTCCCGCCCCACTGCGTGATTCTCTTAAAAAAGAACTTGACAGAATGACCAATTTAGGGGTTATTAAAAAGGTTCAGGAACCTACAGATTGGGTCAACTCAATGGTAGTCACAAAGAAAAAGAATGGCGAGTTGAGAACATGTATGGATCCAAAAGACTTAAATGAGAACATAAAGCGGGAGTATTACCAAATACCAACACATGAGGAAATAATCAGTGAAATGGCAGGAGCAAGCTATTTTACTAAACTTGATGCATCTCAAGGCTTTTGGCAGTTGCAATTGGATGAGGACAGCACAAAGTACTGTACCTTTAATACACCCTTTGGGAGGTATTGTTTTCTGAGACTTCCATTTGGAATAAAGTCAGCTCCAGAAATATTCCACAGAGCAATGGAACAAATCATTGAAGGCTTAAACGGAGTCCGAGTCTATATAGATGACATTATAATATGGGGTTCGACTCTCCAGGAGCACAACAAAGATTAAACAAAGTGATGGAGCGTATTCAACAGTTTGGCCTCAAGCTAAACCGAGCCAAGTGTGAGTTTGCAGTGCAGGAAATTGTTTTCCTCGGAGATAAACTCACAGAAAAAGGTGTGCAACCTGACCAGGACAAGATAACAGCAATCCTGAATATGCCAAGACCAACTGATAAGACAGGAGTTTTGCGCATTATGGGAATGGTCAATTTCATAGGCAAGTTTATTCCCAACCTCACAGCGAAGACGTCCTGCATTCGAGAACTTTTGCACAAAGACTGTGACTTTGAATGGTCAACCAAACATGAGCTGGAGTTAAAAAGGTTAAAGGAGACACTTACCACAGCTCCAGTCTTGGCTTACTATGACCATACCAAAAAGCTGAAAGTATCTACAGACGCATCCAAAGATGGTATTGGAGCGGTACTTTTGCAAGATGAGGAAAGACACTGGAAACCAGTGGCTTATGCATCGCGAGCCATGACAAAAGCAGAATGCAGATACGCTCAGATTGAAAAAGAGTGTTTGGGTCTGGCTTTTGGACTGGAGCGGTTCCATTCTTACATTTATGGACTGTCGGCTTTTACAGTGGAAACCGATCACCGTCCACTGGTCTCAATAATTAAAAAGAATCTGAATGAGATGACGCCACGGATTCAGCGCTTGATGATGAAAATGCAAAGATATGACTTTGAGCTAATCTACACGCCTGGAAAGCATTTGGTGCTTGCAGATGCACTGTCCAGAGCGCCAGTAGATCACTGTGTGAGTAGCACAGATGAAGATGTTAATAGCCATGTAAAGTTTATATCGAGTGTGTTGCCCGTGACGGATACAAAATCACAACAAATAGCTGAAGCAACGTTGGTGGATACAGAACTACAGCGTGTCATTCAGAACATGGAGGAGGGATGGCCAGCAGGATCATGTCCTCACTTTTACCATGTCAGAGGAAATCTCAGCTTTGTTGATGGACTATTGTTGAAAGAAGGAAGAATAGTTATCCCACAAGCTTTGAGATCAGATGTGCTAAACAGGATACACGAAGGTAGGGCTGGGAACTTTGGTCGTTTAGTCGACTAATTGGTCGATGCCGTCGAGGTCGACCAAGATTTTCATTGGTCGACTAGACTTTACTATGCAGGGGCTTTCAATTTCAGCATTAAAAGTTAATTAATTGCAAAACAGTAAAATTACAATGAGTGACATTTGTGCGATTTTAATATCGTAGCCTACTTATTTAGTAAGTAAGTAAGTAGACAGACTTTTCTTCCTATTTAAGTTTCGCTGCTGTCAATTAAGTGTATTACGCAACACCGCATGTGCTCAGTACACGTGCTTGGCAGACAGCACGGCACCGCAGCATCAATCTGAATCTCATCCGCATCAGTAGGCTATTGGCGCAAGTTCTTTTGTTTAAAAATGTCTAGAAAGTCCAAGTCTTTCGTTTGGCAACATTATGTTAAAACAGACGACAAAACAGTCGAATGTAATTTATGTAAGCAAAAGTTCACTTACCACAGCTCAACGACAAACATGGCCTACCATTTGAAACAGGTACAGTATGCTAGATTTATTAAAGCTTGTTAAAGGCATCTGTGGACACTTGCGTTTAATGTGAATTATGTAAACTTTATAGGCACATCCCCAAGTCATACAACCACAAGATGCTGCAACAGGCACGCAAACTAAGCTCGACATGGCCTATCCTCTGTCTGCAAAGAAGAAAGGCGAAATAACCAAATCCATTGTAAATTTCATTGCCAAAGATATGAGGCCATTGAATATCGTGGAAGGAGATGGCTTTAGAGAAATGATTAAAACACTGGAGCCAAGGTTCACAATCCCAGCGAGGAAGACATTGAAGGGCGAAATAACCGTGCGCTTTGAGGAAGTAAAAGAGAAAATCCATCAGTCTTTGCAACGTGCCCGAGCAGTTAGTTTTACTACAGATTTGTGGTCATCTCTGCGGATGGAAGCATACATAACGGTGACCGCTCATTACATAAATGCAGATTGGAAGATGCAAAGTATTGTGCTTGAAACAAAGCAAATGGAAGAGGCGCATACGGGGGCGAATATCGCGGCACGACTGACTGAAGTTGCAGACGCGTTTCGCATCCCTGAAGAAATGCGAGTTTCAGTTGTCACTGATAATGCTGCAAATATGGTCCTGTCTGTGGATTATTTAAAGCAATCGGGTCAGTGGCCTGAAGTGCAGCTGGTTCGGTGCGCAGGGCACACATTGCAACTATGCGTAAACAGCGCACTAAAGCAAGACCCCGTGTCTCGCATGGTGGGTGCTGCACCTCGCCTTGTTGGACATTTTAAAAAGGGGAGCAAAGCAAAAACGGGGCTAAAAGAAAAACAGGAGCAGCAAAGAGTCCCTCAGCATGAATTAATACAGGACGTGGCCACTCGGTGGAACTCCACCTGTTACATGCTGGAGCGACTCATTGAGCAGCGCTGGCCAATTACTGCAGTTTTATCAGACCCAAACTTCACAAAGCGGGCAGACAGCAGCACATTGGATTTGACCACAGAGCAGTGGAATATGGCACAAGACGTTACGGCTGTTCTTAAGCCATTCATAACGCTGACAGAGCTGCTGTCACACGAGAACAACGCATCGCTATCAGCAACGATTCCTATGCTTGTTAATCTGAAAAAATACCACCTCGTCGTCTCACAAGGCGACAGTCCCACAAAACGTAAAATGAAGCTTAAACTTGTGGAGGAAATAGACAGCAGATGGAAGCTATATGAACGACTGGTTATGACAAGCAGCGTTTATATTACAGCTGCTGTACTCGACCCCCGTTTTAAACTGCTCCCATTTCTCGAAGATGAGAAGCGCGATGAAGCTTATGTCACTGTGTCAGACCTGGCTGACAGGATGAGGGCGAGGGAACACGCGCACTGTGCAGGTGAGCCACAAGAGATCGACGGTGATGATGCGCCCGTGTCCAAAAGACAGAGAACAGACAAAGAGAAGAACACTGCGATGTTACTGTGTGGACAAGTTCCAGAAGATGATGATCCTGCTGTACAAAGAGGATCCAGTTCCGACGAAATGAAGGATTACCTTCAAGACCGAAGCAAATGTGACTCTACAGGGCCACTGGTGTGGTGGAAAGAAAACCAGGACAGATACCCCATGCTCGCTCTGGCTGCGAAGCGACTCCTCTGCATACCTGCCACCTCCACGCCCGCGGAACGCATATTTTCCAAAGCGGGATTTATTGTAAATAAAACCAGGAGCTGTCTGCTTCCCAACAATGTGGATATGTTACTTTTCCTTGCCCACAACTCGTCAAAGGTGGATTAAACCCCTAGCGGTGTACGTACACTTTTGGTTACAATTATTAGGTTAATAATTCTGTTGTTTGATTTCATTCAAATCGGAGGTAGGTGAGATGTAATATCTTTATTCAGGCTTTTTTTCGTTTTAGAACTTAATGGCAAAAAAAAATCAACGTTTATTAAAAGAGTCAAATATAGGCCTCGTTTAAGGCCGTATATGGAGCGACGGCAGGCCCGCGCACTCAGTTGTTTTGAAAGAAAGTTGATTATTTATAGCTATAATCCAAATTTTATTTAAATACGTATTTTTCTTTTTTATAGAAGTTATTGAAATATTGCTGTTAATTTCTATACTTTACACGTACTTCACACAAGTCATTGTGTGTGTGTTTTTATTGTATACCTGTAAATGTTTGGATCTTTGCTCGTTAATAAATGCTAAAAATGTTTAAAAAAAATAAACAGTCTTTTGTAATTTTATAATTGAAATATTTTATTTTCTCTTCTTTTTCTTTTTTTTTTGGTCGACTAATCGCTACATGTGCTATAGTCTTGGTCGACCAAGCATTTCCTTGGTTGATTACAGCCCTACACGAAGGACATCTCGGTATTGAAAAATGTAAAAGGAGAGCGAGAGAGTCTGTGTACTGGCCTGGACTAAACAAAGATATTGAGAAACTTGTGAGCAGATGTGAAACATGCCAGAGACATCAGAGTAAACAGTGTAAAGAACCAATGATGATACCTGAGCAGCCTACATCACCATGGCACAAAGTAGGAATGGACTTGTTTCACTTAAAGGGCAAGGACTATCTTATAGTCATTGACTATTTCTCAAACTTTCCCAAAATGGCACTACTCGCAAACACATCATCCGCATGTGTGATCACTCATATTAAATCCATATTTGCAAGGCATGGGCTACCACACATGGTAGTGAGTGATAATGGGCCGTGTTTCAGTAGCAGGGAATTTAAGGCGTTTGCTGAACATTATGAGTTCAGTCATGTGACCTCAAGTCCACATTATGCACAGTCAAATGGACAAGCTGAGAAAGGTGTCCATATATTAAAGCAGCTGTTAAAGAAGGCATTGGACAGCAATTCTGATCCATATTTGGCACTTCTCAGTTATCGTGCATCTCCACTGGAGTATGGCCTGTCACCAGCTGAACTATTGATGAATAGAAAGCTGCGTACTACTCTTCCTACCTATATGAGTAAAGCTCATAAGAAACCATCAAAACGTGACTACAGAGTCACAAAGAAACAGAAACAAAAGACTTTCTATGATGTTTCAGCTAGGGCTGGGCGATATGGCAAAAAAAAAAAATCTCCGATTTTTTCACACCAAATCCGATTTTCGATTTTAATCGATTTATTTTTTTCTATTTAAAAACAAACTACAACTGACAAAGAAATAGATTTTCCTTTATGCAGTTTAATCTAAATCCCCATGGAGCATAAGTGTAACAGGAATTAAGCCTTAAAACATGCTTGTAAACGAGATGGCTCTGCCATTGTAAACAGTGAAAATGTAGCTTAACAGTTTTATAATAACTTCACTTACAATGACACTATGCACCTTCAAAATAACTTAAATCACACAAACAAGGCCCATCGCAAATATATCAATCCTATTAAACACATGCATTATTTACATGAAATATCACATTTTTAAAACTGATTACTCAAAATAGAAATGTTGTAACAGACAGTCTTTTCCAAAAGCCTCCTCGGGTTTTCATGCTTGTTCTTTCAACTGTGCCTGAGTAACTGTGCTGTAGTACAACGCTCGGTCCAGCTGGTGGCGCTAATACTAACTTCAGTGACTCCCGCATTGTCCGAGCTTCCTGTTTACATTCTGATGCTGTAGCTAACAGCTACTGTAGCAGCTACTGTAGCTAACAGCTACTGTAGCTAGCAGACAGCGGGGAACACGTTGTTTGTATCAGAGCAATGAGAGCAATGTGTGAGACGTGTCTTTCCCCAAAGTGCAGCGGCTCAGTGGGACACGAGTGTGTGCGCGCCACGGACACGGGAGTGCGCTTTGGAATAACGAGCGTGAGAGAGCGTGAAAGATGTGGCGTACGACCGGAGCCTGTGTGTGTGTGTTTTGGCGATTAAATAAAGTCTGATTCTTGAACGTTTGAAGTGTTATTGCAACAGCACCAACTGTGAGAGCGAGCATCAGGCCAGAGGGAGACTGTTAGCATTAGGTTAGCTTCAAAATGACTGCTCAACACCATAGACCCGCGGTTAGCGCGTTAGCGCTGTAGTTCTGCGCTGGAGAAAATAAAAATCGAATTTTTAAAAAAAGAAATCGCCCTAAATGTAAAACTCGAATTAATGATTAAAATCGATTAATTGCCCAGCCCTAGTTTCAGCCAAACCACTTTCTCCTCTGTTGTGCAATGACTCAGTTAGGATTGAAGATGCAGGTGGTTGGAACACAAAAGGAGTTGTATTGCAGGAAGTTGCTCCACGATCATACACAGTGCGGACTGAGGATGGACAGGTGTTTCGACGCAATCGTCGCAGTCTCCTGAAGACTCCACCACCAGCATGTGAGTCCAGTGATGCTCACCCAGAACCACCTGTTACACCCTCTGTGAACAATAGTACAAGCACTGCGGAGCAACACGAACTCAGAAGGTCCACACGGGAAATAAAGAAACCTGACCGACTGAACTTATAAAGTTATGGTTACAAATTATTCAGGATGTTAATATTGAGTGTTATTTTGGTTTCAAATATCTTGTTGGTCTCTATTGTGTTGTTTTACGATGTTGTATTTGTATACTAGATAGAGGTAGCAACAAGGAAAATATTGTGCTACATAGATTTTATTTGTTACTGTTAATTTTAAAGCACATTGTTCATCTTCAAAGAAAGGGGGATGTTATGATCAGTAGATTACTGGAGGTTACCACTAGGTGGCGTTGTTGATACGCATGACGTTATGCAGAGAGTGCTGTAATGACCTAGAGATGAACATGATAAAAAGTAGCTCCCTGTAAAACTCGTTTGGATTATTAAAACACGAACACAACATTAACGGACAGAGTCACGCCTATCTCCGCCGTTCAAACTAATGGGCCAATGAAGTGCTCTACTGGAGCTATCCAAAATGGCCGCGAGTGGTCCCGCCCACAATAAAATTGTGAAAAAACGCATCTGCGCATGCGTCAGCCAGCGGGAGCTCCATTCATTTAAACAATTGCCTTAAAAAATTCACAGCAACTAAACTAGAGTGGTCCAAAAAGTTGTCTCCCCTCAGCAATGACACACATGTGGAACGGAGCTTTGGGCCAAAAGCCAACTTTTGGACCATCCTGTAAAGACGTTTTTGAGAGGTAAGAAGATGCAATATGTTAGCATTAGCTAATTCTCATTCCGGGTCCGGGGTGGTATTGCAAGCACGTCATATTGGCCACTTTTGAGCCGGACCCGCCCCCACTTGTTGAGTGCCACAAACATAATTTTAGGGAAAGGCTTTTTTTTCTACATTTTGAAAGTAGACACGATCTAAAACTCATTAAACACTTCAACATGCGTTATTTATTGTTCATAACGCAGCTTTGAGTGGTTTGCCTTTGAGGCAAAGCGGCAACCACTGGTCCTGGTCAAAGTCCAAAAAGATATTTACGTGGGTTTGTCACTAGATGGCAGTCTTGATTCATCCTTTAGCGGAAACTTCACTGATGCAGTGTTCTGCTAGCTGCTGACGGAGAAGAGGAAAAAGAATCAAAAAAATTCTGTGCGCATCCGCTTGATGAGCGCTTTTTACATCAAAGAAGCGAGTAAACTTTAGGGACTCGTTCACAGGAGGAATGTGCTCAGAAGGAAGAGGGAGGAAGGCGCTCAGAAGGCAGGTGATCAGATTGAAAGATCACCACAGGCTGGTCCGAGCGGAATAGTAAGAGATGGGACCAATCAGGACCAACCGAGTCGCGCGTGTAAGCGGTTGCGTATTCCTGCCGCTGTCTGCGAAGAAGCGGAGGAGGATCTTTTTATGGTTTTATTTTATTTTTTATTATATTCCTAAAAATAAACATTTGTATTCTAATTGTACATTCATATTGTTGTTGTTGCTGTTACCATAAATATTTATATGGATCAAATTTCATCTCCAGTGTTCATTGTAAAGGAGGTATAAATATTCATATAGATTGAAATATTCCTTTATAAATGCGTTTTTGTAGCCTACCCCACGCTTATAAGATATATCTATCTTATAAATGTCCGTGGACCCAGAAATGTATGTGTCAAAAGAACTACACCCTCAAAAAATCATATATCATAAAAGGGTCTCTATCTGCTTTTCTAGGAAATTCACAGCGGTTTTCATGAAAGTTTCCGATCTTTTGCTTAGGATATCTCAGGGGCAAAAGCTGATAGAAACGGAAGGTTTTCACCATCTGAAAGTTCAAAGCCTCACCTTTCAAATGCGTTATTGCATGTGATTATGACAGTAACACAGAATATGTTGTGGCTTTGCAAATATCAGGAAAAAATGACATAATGGCTGGCATTCTAAACCCAAGCTGTTGAAACAAGGCTGGCACTCAATGAGTTAAATCATTCTCTTTTCGAATACATCTTTAACTGATAACAGTAGTTCACCCGAGATATTTGAATATCAAAATTAGTTTTACGACCCGTTAAAGTTGTTATTGTTTTCATTACAATGTCCTACCCTTCGCCGTTTCGCCAATCAGGAAGTCTGACGTCCGGGGTGCCACAACTCCTCTCGGCTAGTTAAAATAACATGTGGCCGCAGAACTAAAAAAGGTCTTGTTATGATTCTCAAATGATTAATGACAAAACAAAGACAAAAACGAAGATTTATATCGGGACGCCTTTGAAAACTTGAGACAATTGAAGGTGGATACCAACTTTCCGTGATTCAGAACTTGCTGCGTTGGGTGCGTTCTTCATTGACAGTTCAAGTACCTGAAAGGTGGCCTAATGGTTCAGTCGTAGCGCTTGGGCCCCAGCGGACGGGGTTTCAAATCCAGGTGAGATATGTTTTGGATTAAACAATATATGATTTATTCTATGACGGATTGTTCTAAATCGGTAAAAGGTAAAAACAAGCCGTTATTTGCAGATTAGAGCTTAATTGTAATAAGAATCATTTGAAATCACATGTACACAATTAAAATAATGTTAGTGTCTTTTTGATATGGGACTTATACATGTTTGTCTAAAAAATAAGGAATAAAAAAAACAAAGGGTGATATCCTCTGGAGGAAACCCTGATGTTGATACATTGAAGAAATATGTTCCAACATCCATTCTTCTCACTCCTATTTTGATCCTATCCTGATACTCCTATCAATTGCTTATTTATTTTGCATAATCTATGTAAAATTAAATTTTGTTTTATTTATTTTTTCTCATCTCAAATGTCCAAAAAACAAAAAAAACAAAACATTTGTTCAACATTAGCACGGCTTTCATGGCAATGTGATTGGAGACGGACAAACAACTGATGAAATAATTCCCTGTGTTTGCTGCTGGATTTGGTGTGTATCTGGCAACCTGAGTCAGGGAGAGTGGGAGAGGACTACAAAATATTGACTGTGACTGCAGTACCACTTTTGGCCAGATCTTTACATATTGCTCCTTTAAATTCAACAGTCTAAATTTTCGGCAAAAAAATATGATGGTGAAAAATGGACATGACACATCCGATGTTCCGACGAGTTGTGTGCTCCTTGTGTTGGTCTGTGCATTTGCAAATTAACTGTTTTCTCTTCACTGAAGTTGGAATCTCTCGTTGCCATGTCTCTCCGTTACTATGGGTATATTTATATTAGTTCAACATTCTGTCAGTTAAGTTTCATGCTTTACTCTTGTGTCCCTGTTTCCTTCAGCCAAAGGCGCCGAGCGAGATGCAGAGTCCTTGAACCTCCTCATACCCTGAACCTCCTCATCCCGGATCACCATGAACCACTCGCCCAGCCCTCACCTCCCTGATGGGGGTAAGTCTGCAGGGAGCCTGCTCTGTGCCCTGGGTCTGTCTGGAGGCAGTGATCGGAATACCATCCGCTCCCCTGACAATTCAGCCCACAGCCCCAGTCCCACAGGGGGCACTCCCAGCTCGAGTCCTCCTCTGCTGCTGTCCCCTGGCGGGATGAGCTCACTGGGGTTCGGGGGTCTGACAGACGGGGCTGGGGGGGACTGGGAGAGCAGAGAGGAGCTGAGGCTGCGGGAGCTGGAGGAGGCCAGGGCCAGGGCGGCTCAGATGGAGAAGACCATGAGGTGGTGGTCTGACTGCACGGCCAACTGGAGGGAGAAGTGGAGCAAGGTGAGGAGAACATGTATCATGTGCTAAACATCTGAGGAGTTATCTTAAGTCAAACGTACTGTATGTGCGGACAGTTACTAACAAAACCCTAATTGTTTTCTCGCCACTGCGAGGCAGAGACTGCTCTGAGTCCAATAAGACTTTCACATATTCACATGTGAGTGACAAAAAAAAAAAAAAAATTATATATATATATATATATATATATATATATATATATATATATATATATATATATATATAACGTATATTTACTCGAAAAGGGTTGGCGGGAGCGGGGCAAGATGTATTCTCGAGTGTTTGTGAACTCACAAATACCGCGAGAATTCAGCTTGCAGGCAAGGTTAACAATTTGGTCAATGACACAAAAAAGTTCCGAAATGTCCACAGCCATTATTGCTCAATGTTCACAGCACCCACTCTAGTTTGTTTCCAGCTTGTATGTCCAGTGAAGGGGGCACTACTTACAACAGCGCTCCAACGCCGCTTTTTCACAGTAACGGTACGGTACGGTACGGCACCGACCCTATATTAAAAACAACTCAACCCCGCCATCTTTAAAACCGACTTTGTTTGAAGCCACATTTCAGGCTTCAAACATAAAGATATAAAAAATATTTTTTTTTGTCAAGAATCAACAACAAGTGGGACACAATCGTGAAGTGGAGCGAAATTTATTCGATAATTTTAACTTTTTTAACACATAAAAAACTGAAATGTGGGGCGTGCAATATTATTCGGCCCCCTTGCGCTAATACTTTGTAGCGCCACCTTTTGCTGCAATTACAGCTGCAAGTCGCTTGGGGTACGTCTCTATCAGTTTTGCACATTGAGAGACTGGAATTCTTGCCCATTCTTCCTTGCAAAACAGCTCGAGCTCAGTGAGGTTGGATGGAGAGCGTTTGTGAACAGCAGTCTTCAGCTCTTTCCACAGATTCTCGATTGGATTCAGGTCTGGACTTTGACTTGGCCATTCTAACACCTGGATACGTCTATTTGTGAACCATTCCATTGTATATTTGGCTTTATGTTTTGGATCATTGTCCTGTTGGAAGATAAATCTCCGTCCCAGTCTCAGGTCTTTTGCAGACTCCAACAGGTTTTCTTCCAGAATGGTCCTGTATTTGGCTCCATCCATCTTCCCATCAATTTTAGCCATCTTCCCTGTCCCTGCTGAAGAAAAGCAGGCCCAAACCATGATGCTGCCACCACCATGTTTGACAGTGGGGATGGTGTGTTCAGGGTGATGAGCTGTGTTGCTTTTACGCCAAACATATCGTTTTGCATTGTGGCCAAAAAGTATTGGTGATTTTGGTTTCATCTGACCAGAGCACCTTCTTCCACATGTTTGGTGTGTCTGCCAGGTGGCTTGTGGCAAACTTTAAACGAGACTTTTTATGGATATCTTTGAGAAATGGCTTTCTTCTTGCCACTCTTCCATAAAGGCCAGATTTATGCAGTGCACGACTGATTGTTGTCCTATGACTCTCCCACCTCAGCTGTAGTTATCTGCAGTTCATCCAGAGTGATCATGGGCCTCTTGGCTGCATCTCTGATCAGTCTTCTCCTTGTTTGAGATGAAAGTTTGGAGGGACGGCCGGGTCTTGGTAGATTTGCAGTGGTCTGATACTCCTTCCATTTCAATATAATTGCTTGCACAGTGCTCCTTGAGATGTTTAAAGCTTGGGAAATCTTTTTGTATCCAAATCCGGCTTTAAACTTCTCTACAACAGTATCTCGGACCTGCCTGGTGTGTTCCTTTGTCTTCATGGTTCTCTCTGCGCTTTAAACAGAACCCTGAGACTATCAAAGAGCAGGTGCATTTATACGGAGACTTGATTACACACAGGTGCATTCTATTTATCATCATCAGTCATTTAGGACAACATTGGATCATTCAAAGATCCTCACTGAACTTCTGGACTGAGTTTGCTGCACTGAAAGTAAAGGGGCCGAATAATATTGCACGCCCCACTTTTCAGTTTTTTATTTGTTAAAAAAGTTTAAATTATCCAACAAATGTCATTCCACTTCACGATTGTGTCCCACTTGTTGTTGATTCATGACAAAAAATTAAAATTTTATATCTTTATGTTTGAAGATTGAAATATGGCGAAATGTTGAAAGGTTCAAGGGGGCCGAAGACTTTCGCAAGGCACTGTACAAAAAGGTTTTGTTTTTGGTCAAAACAAGGGCAAAATAAATGTTTAGGCATATGACAAAGTTACGCATCAGACCCTGCTACACAGCTGCTGTTGCTACAGGTGTGTCTCATTCTGTCACATGGTCTCTCCATGGTTTTTCGCACAGATTGTACAGATCACAGCAAGTCAGCACCATTGACTTCACATGTTCAGTGTCCGAGTCATTCCTTTAAGACTTTCAAAAGCATTTTCAACAACCACTCGCGCTGTGCTCAATTTTGTCCAGAAAATATTTTACGGGCCAGTTCTGCAGGGGGTAAGCAGAGTCCCCTAGGAGGTAATAATCAGCTATCACCTATTTTATGATAAATCCATGCACCGCACCAATGTTACTGGTTACGCGTCGTGCGTAAGTGATTATTTTTAATGGAAAAGCACCCGCACACGGCCGTGCCGCGCCGTGCCGTACAGTGACTATGGAAAAGCGGCACAAGACAGCCGTTTTGGACGTAACAAAAAGGACACGATTGTTATGCCCAAAACGCCCAGTTTGTCTCCAGTTATTGAAATTTATTTTTTGCATAATGCAAAATCTATAATTACAGATTGATTATAGTTATACCCCCAACCATGAGCCATTAAATAGTCTTCTCTGTCTGTTCATTCTTCTATTCACAAAACCTCCAACATGACTCCTAAATGTAACAATTATGTCCCCAAAGTCCAATACATCTTTTTTGAAAGGCTTTTCTTGAAATGGTTTTAACTGTCCATTTGAGATCATACTATTTGTATCTATAAGCTACATAGTGTTAAGAATGTTTTGGTACAAACATTTATGGTTCATTCATTTATTGTATTGTTGCTTGAAGTTGACGCATTGTACAGTTTAGTGTGGAGTGAGCCATATGTAAGTTGTCATATGGTCAGAATATATAAAGTGACATTCTGAAACGTCAGTATAGCATGATTGCACGTATTTACTATTTCCCCAGAGCAGAGTGTCCTGCAGGTAGTGTGATTTGTCTCTTCCACAGTTTAACCTAAAACACAGATAATGTGTTGTCTACATGACTCCTGATAAGTCTTCATCACATGACTCATGATAAGTCTTCAGCACATGACTCATGATAACTTCATCTCATGATTCATGATAATTCTACATGACTCATGATAACTCTTAATCACAAGACTCATGATAACTTTATCATATGACACATGGTAACTCTCCATCACATGACTCATGGTAACTCTCCATCACATGACTCATGATAACTCTTCGTCACATGACTCATGATAACTTATCACATTACTCATGATAACTGTATCATATTGCACATGGTAACTCTCCATCACATGACTCATGATAACTCTTCATCACATGACTCATGATAACTTCATCACATGACTCATGATAACTGTGTCATATGACTCATGATAATTCTTCATCACATGACTCATGATAACTCTTCATCACATGACTCATGATAACTTCATCACATGACTCATGATAACTGTATTATATGACTCATGATAACTCTTCATCACATGACTCATGATAACTCTTCATCACATGACTCATGATAACTTTATCACATGACTCATGATAACTTCATCACATGACTCATGATAACTGTGTCATATGACTCATGATAATTCTTCATCACATGACTCATGATAACTGTTTTATATGACTCATGATAACTCTTCATCACATGACTCATGATAACTCTTCATCAGCAGAACTCATTATAGCTCTGTAACACATGACTCATATTAACTCCAGGTGCGTGCTGAGCGTAACCGCGCCCGTGATGAGGTGAGGCAGCTGCGGCAGCGACTGGACGCCCTCACCAAGGAGCTGACGGGAGCGCGGAGAGAGAGACAGGAGCTGGTCTCTGCAAACGAGACTCTGAGACAGGAAGTGCTGCATCTCCATGGCGACCACGCGACCCCAGCCACACACGTCCCACTTCCCTCCACTCCCCCGCTCACAGAAGGGGGGATCCCGGAGTCCCCGGAGTCAGAACCGGTCCGAGATGTGGACCGGGACAAACAGGACTGTCTGCAGAGAGTGCGTAACTGTTTACTTTTGATTTGATCTTTTCAAGTGATTCAAACACAAACCCACATAGGTCCAGGAGAGAAGATTGTATACAGATAGACAATGCTAACAAACACTAATCTCCAGTGCTGAGGAAAACGCCGCAAGCTCAATGTAGCCCAATGGGGAAGTGCTCATGGTGAAGTTTTGCTCCAACTCTCTCTGTGTCCTATTGACTTACACCTAAAAGTACTCCTCTAGCTTTGTAAACATTTGTGTCACACTCACTATTTTGTATCACCATCAGTATTGCATGTGCACGTTTAACACCACTGCTGTAACAGCGGTAAGAACAGTAGCAGCAGTAAAAGCAGCAGCAGTATCAGTAGTGCTCCTTGTACTGCTCCTCCTTCTGCTCCTACTTCTGCTCCTACTCCAACAGCTGGACCTACAAACCCTGACCTCCTATTGGTGGATGTCTGTAAGTGTGAAGTCTCTATTTTTGGGGACCCCAAGAGGGAGCAATGCCTGCCATTAGAGCTGTATCAAACTACAATCTCTGCATCTAATCTAATCGATTATATAATATCATTCATTACAGCCAGAGTAGGTCCAAAGTGGCTCAGTTGGTGGAGCATTGGCCTTTGAGCCTGAAGGTCATGGGTTCAAGCCCACCATGAGATCTTCTCCACCGAGTCTTTGGGCAAGACACTTAACCCCACTTTGCCTGAAGCCCCCGCTGAAAGATCAATGCTGTGTTCTCACTGACAGAGCCATCTGCAGGAGGATCAGTGAGGGGCTGGTGCTCTGTGAATTGACTGCCACCCACCCAACCCAGAAATGGATTAAGGGGAAGAAAATCGATGAATGGAAAGCCAGAGTAATGAATAAATGGAAAGTATCCATCCATCCATTTTCTTTAGCTTTGTACGTTGCCGGGTCGCGAAGGCTTTCCCTGGCCAGCTGAGAGACACAGTTCCCCCAGCGTGTGCTGGGTCTTCCCCTGGTCTCAAACCCAGTAGGACATGCCCACGGAGGCGTCCTGGAGGCATCCATGTATTTTATTCATGTAACCAAGGACTGCAGATGGAAACTAGCTGTCTTCAGGCTTAATGTCACTGTACACTGTCCCTTCACATAAAGACTAAACTAAACTAAACTATCCCAAAACATAGGACCTATAGCCTGGATACTGATTGTGTGAGTACTGAGTCTGATTTCTTCTGCAATGGAGTTTCCCCACTGAATGAATATAGGTTTTCTTATCTCATCTAATCTTATCTTATTATTGTTTGATCAAAAATACAAATCAAATCTTCAGTCCTTCTAGAATGAGTCATAAGGCTCTCCTCACATATAAAAGTCTTTGTAAGAAACAGCTCCTCCTGTGTGGTTTTTGCATGTTCCACCTGTGTATGGGTTTGCTCCAGATAATCCAGTTTCCCCTCTGCACAATGGGCAGTTCCCCCAGCAACTGAGACATATGACATATTTTAGTGTAAAATCCTCAGAATATAAAATAGTGAATCTAACTGTCTGTAGGTTTGAGAGTTGATCTTAACCAGGGCGTGTGTGTGTTTCCTCGGTATGTTATTTCCTGTCTCTTTCTATTGTTCTCACTCAAGTATTTCCAAATGTGGCACAGACTCTCCCAGCTGCTATACAATGACTCCGTCTGCTGGTGACTGTGTGCAGTGAAGACATTTATTTTACACTCTACTTTCTAAGGATTGTTGTCCCTATTTTTGGCCCTTTTTTGTATAGCACACACATACAGAAGGCAGAGTGATTAAAACAAGAAAGGAAACATATTAAGTTATAAGATATCACAGTGCATAAAAATTGGTCAATGTTTATTGGCTCATATCTGGATCTACAAAGACAATATCACAATATAAACACCAGGATCACAGAGAGCGCTAAACCACAGAAGGCCAAAATGGTGAATATGACTCAAGCGGTTACTGTGCTCGAATTTACGGAGAGAAGTTACAGAGACGTTTACAAACGTCACCATAAGCACTTCCCTATTGGGCTTCATTGAATTTGCAGGTTAGCATCGTACAGTCTGTGATTTGGGTAGAGGTACAGGTTGGCTTCTACACCAAGTTTTAAGTTTGTGTAGTCATCAGAAGAACATCTCAGAATATTGTTAGAGATCTGAATCCATATTATTCAAAATTGTAGCCGCAGACAGTGGTTTCTTTGTCAAATAACATTGCTTTATTTAAATTACAAGGATTTTGGATAAATGCAAGAGTATAGGCCAAGTATAGAGCAGATGAGGTGCAGATCTTATTCTTTACTTTGAATTTCGATCCAGATCAGTTTCTCTATTCACAAGACGTGTGTGTGAGTTATTGAGTGTTTAGTTTTAGAGCCCTTTCTATGAAGGTCTCTGGTCTCTGGTCTCTGGTGTCTGGTCCTTGGTCTCTGGTCTCTGGTCTCTAATAATAATAATTTTGATAATGCAGCAAACTTGTATAACGCTTTTTTAGACACTAAAATCCGCTTCACATAGGGAAATAAAAAAGGGGGGTTTACAGAAAAGCTTGTTTGAACAGATGGGTTTTGAGTGCTGATTTAAAGATTGATAGTGAGTCAGAGTTTCTAATAGGCAGTGGGAGTGAGTTCCATAGGGTCGGGGCTGCAATAGAAAAGACTCTGTCCGGTTCCCCAAGGTCCAGCGGTTAGTGGTGGTGATGGAATCTCTGGTGGTTGGTCTCTGGTGTCCTTCCCTGACTCTGCTTATCCTCCTCAGGACGTGGAGCTGCTGCTATTGCGCTCCAGACCTTCAGGGGACGACACTCTTGAGTCTTGGGACAAACCCTCCGGATCTCCAGGGGGCGATACTCTGGAGCCCTTGGACAGATCACCTCGCTCTCAGTGGAAACGAGTGGAGCGTGGCCGACCGTGGGACCTCAGCTCCACAGAAGAAGATCCCAGCAAAGTGAATGCTCTGCAGCTGAGGCTGGACCAGGCCCAGAAGGTCCTGCTCAAGGAGAGAGAGTGAGTATGCACTGGTCTGAACTGGGTTATACTGGTTTATACTAGTCTGAACTGGGATATACTGGTTTCTACTGGTCTCTACTGTTTGGTTATTTATGTCTTTTTTATTCGTTTGCCACAGTGCTTATTAGAGAACACTATGTGACATCACTGTGTTTTGTTTCTCCCAGTGACAAACAGACTCTGGGCAAAAACATTGAGCGTCTGGAGACAGAGCTCAGTCAGTGGAAGCTCAAGTACGAGGAGCTGAACAAGACCAGACAGGAGGCCCTCAAACAGGTGAGAGGGGAGGAGCAGAGGAGTGAGCGAGAGAGGAGGTCTTTCTCTGGCCTAAATCCTAAAAGCAGTGTTCACACTGCCAATGTGTCCACGCAGCGTCCACGCACACTGGACGCACATTCACTAAATTTAAGCTGCTTGAATTTAGTACGTCCTAATTTTAATTTTAATTTTAATTTTGTTATTAATCAGTACTTCGGGCTGGAGGCATATGTTCACAAGTACTGTGTCCCCCATTGTCAGTCCTGGATTAATCCTGGTTTAGTCCTGGTTTAACTGTTTTCGAGTGTCTTTGTGTGCTTGCTCGGACCGGTTTGTGTCCCTGTGACCACTTTGTGGCTCTCTGATTGGTTTCTGCATTTGTGGGCAGTGGAAAAAGTTCCACAATGTTCATCTCCTGCTTTTGCTGCATGCGTCAAGTCGCTGTACCCACTGCCTCTCACATAATGTGCTGTAGATGATAACAGACAGCAGGACCTCATGATGGCTGTCTACCCCACTGTACTACTCATCCCCCCATCACTTGAATCAGAGGCCATTATGAAAACTCATTCCTAAAGTTTCCTGAATAGTAAACAGTCATCCCTTTAGATTAATCAAAAAGGAGATTGAAACATGTGAAAGAAAAAACTGATCACCAGAAGCACGGACCCATCACCACCACCATCAGAGGGCAGGAGAGGCAGAGTCACACCACCACCACCAGAGGGCAGCAGTAGCACAATCACATTGCCACCACAGAAACCAAAGATCACTACAGCAGCACTACAATAGTTATTACACCTACTGGACCCTGTACTATCAGATCAAACGTATAACACTATATATTAAACAAAAGAAAATAATGTAAGTTTAGCATAGGAGACATTTGTGAGTTTGGCTTTTTCCTGTAGAAAATGTAGATACAAATAATTAGTAGACTGGGTTTACTAGTGACCATGTGTGTGTGATCAAACCATGAGTGAATCTTATGCATTTACAATAGTTTTTGAATCTTGTGAATCTGACATTTTCCATTAAACAGATTAATTGCAATTTTTAAATACATCGGTGAGTGATCGATATCATTATCATCTGTCCAGCATTTTTACATCTGTAAAATCAATACAAAGTCAATTCAATGTTTTTGTGCATCTTCCTAAATCACAGCAGCAGTTGTCTCGAGGGACTTAACAATGTTTTGTGAAATTTAAACTTGAATTTCTATTTATTTTATCATTTTATCAAACAATGAACTATCAAAACTTTCCACAAAAACTTTATTCTTAGTTTTACAGTTATTGCCTCTGATCTACAAGCCCAAATGTTTACTTTATCTACTGTTTATGTTGAAGAATAAGAATTTCTGCATGTGATAGATCTGTTTGCTCCAATGTCCATATATTTTGTACACACACAACACATGATAAACATACCCCTTAATGTGGCCAAGCTTCATTGAAACTAAACCCCATGCGGCCTCCAGATAAATTGCGTATGAGACCCCTGCTGTAGATCCAGGAATGATGCTGTGGATAAAAAAACAAACAAAAACAAAAACATGATCAGCAAGAAGGCTGAGCACGAGTGCATGCTGATCCAGACTCAACTCATATTGGCATAAACTACTTAAGTAGTAATCATATTCTGGTAAAGGAAGCATTCACATTAAACTACAACTTTCCTCATTTTCGAAAGGTTAAGCTGCACAATGCAGGAGGCGGCTGAAGTCATGCTACACAGGCTGCTGTTGCTACAGGTCCCATTCAGATTGTACAGAGCAGTCAGCACCATTGACTTCACAGTGTCCGAGTCATTCTTTTAAGACAAAAGCATTTTCAACAACCACTTGTACTGTGCTGAATTTTCTATTAAACACTTGCTCTGATATTATAATAAATCCAAGCACCGCACCAGTACTAGTTACGCGTAAATGACGTGGTCTGACAACGCTGAGGACATACTAGGGGGTACTTTTTTTGATGGAAAAGCACGCAAACCAGGCCGTGCCGCGCCGTTTAGAGTCGATACGAAGCGTACCGTTACTGTGGAAAAGCAGCATTAGAAACATCTGGGATGCAATCCAACAGAGCAACCAAGAACTACAAGTATATATCGATGCAAAAGTCTCCCCAATACAATCAAGCATCGATCAAATACAAACGTCAATGTCTACACCAGGGGTCGGCAACCTATGGCACGTCGCGGAATAAACAATGACACGCTGGCACCTTCGTATTATTACGATACTCACTTTATCTGTCCTGTTTTAAAAATAAAAATAAAAGCATCTGCCTCTTTGTCTGTGTGCGTTTGAAGCCCGTCACTAGGACCCAGGACACCACTGCATGGATTTTCGGTATACAGATCTGCCTCTCCACTCAGCAGTGAGATGGCTGAGTTGCGGAAAAATATCCAGAATTGGAGGACGAGAAGCCCCACCCGCTGTCGGTTAACAACGGAGCACTCTGAGGCATGTTTGCGACTCAAAGTAACTAGCTACTAGCCCCAGATCACAGAGCTCAAGCAAAGCAGGGCCAGGGATCACATTGACTGTCTGGAAGGCATCTGATAATTTGATGTTGCCTCAGCCTACTCTAGTCTTAGTTTAAATGTGTAGGCTAGCTGTTTTTCAGCCTTTGAAATGTTGATGTGGCTATTTAGTTAAGAATACAGATACTGTTATTGTTGAGAATACAATTCCATGTTTTTGTATTTTGTGTCATAATTTAACTTTGCGTTATCTTTGATAATGGCACACGCACTGATCTACACTCTGCGACCAGGTCACGGCGGTCGAGCAAAGAGTAAGTACGAACGAAGATAACATTGATGATCTCGCCAAACGTGTTCAGCACCTTGAGAAAACAACGCTTACCTTAAACAGAAGATTGACGACGTTGAAAACAGGAGGAGGGTGTGCAACCTCAGATTCATAAACATTCCCGAGCAGTCCGAAGAGAGGGATGTAATTGGATTCATTGTCAAACTTCTTCCCTATCTCTTTGGGCAAGAAAACTTCCCCACTCCGACTCGCATTGAAAGGGCCCATCACTCCCCAACTATGCCTGACTCTGGAACAAAGGCAAAGCCACGGCCGATCCTGGTAAAGTTCTTGAGCTGCCAGGAAAAAATCTGTATACTACGCCCCGCCCGAGATAAGCAGGACCTTCACTTCCAAGGAGCGCGTATCCACATATTTCCTGATTTCAGTGTGGATTTGGCGAAGAAGCATCGGGAGTTTGATCCAATTAAAAATAAGTTCAGTGAAATGGAAATTAAGTACTTGTTTCTCTATCTATCAACTCCACGAAACCACAAAACTTCAAGTCTCCAGCCGATACTGAAAACTATATCTCCCAACTGGATGCGTCACTCTCTTCCACGGAGTAACGCTAGTGAGTAAAACTAATGGGAAAGTCAATCGTTCGCTCACATCTAAGTTAGCGACACTCTTACGTATGCAACGCTTGAGATACTTTGTTTGATTACTAAGTTTCACAAAGTTTTTTCCGAAAAGTAGGACGCTCGTAAAGTTTGATAAATATTTGTTGTACGCCCTCTTCTTCTGCTGATAGATTTATGGCTGCTTTTCGCCATTCTATTTGTAATTATCAAGGGCTGTTGTTGTAGATTTTTTTTTTATTTTTTTTTATTTTTTTCTTAATCTGATCCTGAATCAGAATAAACAGACTATTGTATCCCTTTTCCTGATTTGTTGTCACATCTTTCCTGCTAAATATCTGTGTGTACGTGCATGCTTGTGTGGATGAATGTGTGTGAGAGCGCGTGTATCAGCTCAGCACTTCTGGCGTCCAACCCGGGGTCCCCCACAAATTATAGGATATTTAATTGGTTAGAGTAATACTAAATGTTTAAATGTTAGATGTCTAAAATTAACCTTCTCCGTGCCTGGGTCGCACTACACAAACCTAACATTTTTACCTTATCTGAACTTTTTTTGGACTAATTGTGGTACAAGAGGATATGGTTTATGTGGACAATAGCCTTAATTCTTCAAGGGTAGATAATCAGTCCTCATCTCTACTGGACTGGATTCTAGTCACCAATCCGGAACGAATAAGTGTATCTGGTGTCATGAGTGATTGTATGAGTGACCACTCCATAATATAAGTGTCCCCCTAAAAATATCCAATATAGACAATGCAAAAATATGAATGTGGATCTGTTTAAACATGATTTACTTAATATTAATTGAGATCGAGTTTCTTTGATACCACACAAAAATGATACTTTGGACTTCCTTCACTCAGAGCTTACTACTGTCATTAACAAACAAACATGCTCCAATTCAAATTAGAAAGGTCAAAGGTAGAGCTTTGTCGTGGCTGAACTCAGAACTCCTCAATCTGTATAGACTCAGAGCCAAAGCCTGGCAAAAATATCGAGTCAGTAAACCTCCTGATGACTGGTAAGTCTACAGATGCCGGCGCAATGATAGCTCTACACAAACTAGATATTCACAATCTCAATTTTATCAGAAAAACTAATCCCAGGACTTTAAAAATACAAAACATTTTGGAACAAATTAAACTCTATGCTAAATCATAAAAATAAGAACCAAATTGAGCATATCTGTATAAACAATGAAATCATATCTAATCCCGTTAAGATTGCTGATGCCTTTAACAAACACTTCTACCTTAGTACACAGATTCAACCAACCCCATACTGTAAAACAACAAATCCAAATGAAACACCCCTATCTTCTTTTTCATTCAGAAGAATCTCCTGAAGTCAAATACTCAAAGTCAGAATTAATATAAATACAAGTGCAAGGGCTGGACCTCATGGACTGGAGGTCAAATTCATTAAATTGGGATGCTAATATTTCAGTTGGCGGAACTGTTCAACCTGTCTCTTGGTAATAACTCACTTCAAACAATGTGCTAAAATAATAAAATATATTTAAGGTTGGTGAGGCAATGATATTTTATCACCACGTCAATCTGGATTTAGACCTAATCATTCCACAACTACAGCCCTTGTTAATCTCTTAAACAACATATATACTGCACTCGACAACCAAAATATCACAGGAGCAATCTTCACTGACTTCACCAAGGCTTTCGATACTGTTGACCACTACCTCTTACTGAACAAGTTATATTCAATTGGTCTATGCAAAAGTGCCTTGCTGTGGTTTAACAGCAAGGCACATTCAAGAAAACATTATACAGCAGTTCAAGGTGAATTCTCCTCTACCACAAGAGTAGCAAAAGGTGTTCCTCAAGGGTCCTCACTAGGTCCACTCCTATTCTCTATATACATAAATGATCTACCAAAAATTATGAACAAATGTAATGTTCATCTGTATGCTGACGATATGGTTATCTACTGCTCTCATAACAAACTACGTCACATACAGGAATCCCTTTAAAATGACTTTGACCATATACAAAATTGGCTTATACAAAACAATCTTTTTTATAAACATTAAAAAGTCATAGAGTATGTTGTTCAGGCAACAAAGGGGTATGAACCTACAAAATCCTTCAATACAGTATTTGGATGAAACTCTTCTGCAAAACACTGAAACCTTAAAATATCTTGGGCTATGGCTTGACCCTCTCTTTCAAACCACACATAGATCATATACTAAAAAAACCTATGCTCTTCTGGCTCAGCTTCATAGATCAATTAGTTGTTTCACGTTCGACATCAGGAAAAGAATAGTTCAGTGAGCTGTGCTGCCAATAATTCAACATACAGTTGAGTATCCGTTGTAATCAACATACTACGGATACTCTTCTTAAGCCCTTGACCACTCTTACAAACTCACTCTGCAGATTCATACTCCGATGCGCTTATTTCACTCATCATTGCTCACTATACTCTTCACTGAGTTGGTTACAACCCAAAACAAGAAGACTGTTTCATTGGTTTATTTTCTTGTATATTGCTTGATCTACCTGATTCCCTAAAAAACATATGGTTCTATTTAGAACCACACACTCTTTAAGATAATGGAATTCTCTGTATGTAAGAATCCCCATTGTAAGAAGAGAGGTGGGAAAGAGGGCATTCCGATTTAAAGCGGCTCATGACTGGAATAATCTGCCAATGGAACTGCAGTCTCTATCCTCCCTGCCACAATTTAAAGCAGCTTTATTTACAAGATTTAATTGTGTGCCTGTTTCTAACGTAATATATTCAACGTGTTCTTTAACTGTGTTTAAAACAATTATAATATTATATTCAAGGGTTGAGGCTCTCAGTCTACAACAATTTATAATCCATTTATTTAGCCCTGAAACCGCTGGATAGTGTCAGCTAAGGAGAACTGAGGGTGAGGGTCTGGAAGTGCGGTGCTGAATGTCTGGTGAATGAATGTGAATGTTATTTGTTTGGATTTTTGCTCAATTTTTACGTAAATTGTAAAATGTTTGTTCTGTCTTGTTGTCCCAGGACCCCCTTAAAAAGAGATGGTCCATCTCAAGGGGCTATCCTTAAGAATAAATACATAAATAAATAAACATGAGCCTATATAAAGTGGTGGCACAAGAATTAAATTTTTTAAAGTTTAAAATTTGCTTTTTGTTAAACTGCTTCATATACTGTTGAACTGCAACTGCCTTGTTCAGCACTGCCCAAAATACTTTCCGCTTGAAACATATGGCTACATTAATAACAGATTAGACAAAAGAGCAGAGATCTGAGGTGACTCTGAGAGTCGAGCAGGAGGTGTGACACTAGCTTCACATGACACCAGCTTCATAATTCATACTCCAAATACTCCACATACACTGTACTCCTGATACTCCTGGGTTCACAAATGTCTGAGAATCACGACACAAACTCCAGTGTGAGGAGTTGACTCTTAATTGTAAGTCAATAGGAGCCAGACTGGTGGATTTCTTTAAGCTAGTGCGTTAGCATGGTCAATTTGTATACAGTCTATGATTTTGAATCTTTGCTACACAGATGTGAGTTCACTGTTTCCTCCTTGTTCTGCAGCTGAACATGCTGAAGGAGGTGCATCAGGACGAGCTGGGTCGCATGTCTGAAGACCTGGAGGATGAGCTTGGGGCAAGGTCCAGCATGGACAAGAAACTGGCAGAGCTACGAGCAGAGGTGTGAGGTGTGACCTCAGTAGGGTTGCCAACCGTCCCTTGAAATACGGAATTGTCCCGTATTATAGAAAAACTATGTGCGTCCCGTATTGAACTGATACGGAACGGCTTTTGTCCCGTATTTTCAGAGTCGCCTTAAATGCATCACTCACTCACTGCATGTCACACAAGCGACACACGCACACACAGTAATCACAGTTTAAGCGTCTACCTTTCGGCCAAACAGTGTCAAAGGGGGCGTAAGCTTGATCACATCCATGGGTTTACCCTTACTGTTGACAAGTGACAGCGTGGGCCGTGCATGGATCTATGAGGCCATGCCCGCAGCATCATCCTGGCAGAAGTCTGGTAAAGTAGCGTCATATTCCCAGATTTGGACTTCCGCGGTCAATAGCTCACGGAAGTTACTTTGTTAAACAAAAGTAATTTGCTAAAATGATCACCTCTATGTTGATTTTTCAAATCCAATGCGCTGTTTTTAATGCAGAGAAATCCATTGAATCCAGTGCACTGCAAGCGCCGAGAAAAGCGCTTAGGGACCGTCAACCAATGTCAATACCAGCTTTGTAAACAAATAATAGCTTTTACTGAAGCCATGTACACGCACTAAACTCTCAGACACTATAAATAATGACCATATCTAACTGCTACAGACTTTGATTTCAACATTTGTGAGTTTTTTTAATGAATACATGTTTTTCTTTTTTTTTTTTACAGTAAATGGTCTTTACTGTAACATACATAATAATGTATGTTACAGCGTTTGTCTTTTTATATTTTTTATTACTAATAAGAATGCATGAAGTCCTTAACCAGCCAAAGAGTTCCACCTATTTATGACATTTATTTTTTGCCTAAGAATTTTTTTTATTTTTATATGTAGCCAAAAAATTACATTCTAAAAACTGTGATTATGAAATTCCATGATTCCTGTGTAGATTGAAATTAGGACTAAAAAGTGCTCAACCCGATCCACCCAAATGGTGTCCCTTATTTTTTTTTTCTCAAGTTGGCAACCCTAGACCTCAGGGAGATCCAGGACTGAGGCTGTAGATACAGGACTGAGACTGTAGATTCAGGACTGAGGCTGTAGATCCAGGACTGAGACTGTAGATACAGGACTGAGGCTGTAGATCCAGGACTGGGGCTGCAGATCCAGGACTGATGCTGTAGATCTAGGACTGATGCTCTAGATCTAGGACTGAGGCTGTAGATGCAGGACTGAGGCAGCAGATCCAGGACTGAGGTTGTATATTCAGAACTGAGGCTCTAGATCCGGTACTGAGGCTGTAGATCCAGGACTGAGGCTGTAGATCAAGGACTGAGTCTGTTGATCCCGGACTCAGGCTGTAGATCCAGGAGTGAGGCTGAAGATCCTGGACTGAGACTGTTGTATTGTTGTAGATGGAGCGTCTTCAAGTGGAGAATGCAGCGGAGTGGGGCAGGCGAGAGCGGTTGGAGACGGAGAAGCTGGCTCTGGAGAGAGACAATAAGAAGCTCCGTGCTCAGGCCGAAGACTTGGAGGAGCAGCTGGCCAAGAAGAGACGGCAGGCCGCGAGTGTTCTGGACTCTGACCTCAAGGCCATTCAGACCGAGCTGTTCGAGAGGAACAAGGTGAGAAGGACATCAGACGTGTCACCAGGTCAAGTCAAATATGGACCCGCTAGATCAATGTTAAACGTGACACTCACTCATTCAGGGCCTAAATCTGTTGTTTAGTGCTGTCTGTGATCCTGGTGTTTATATTGGGATATTGTCTTTGTAAATCAAGATATGAGCCATATAAGGACTGACCAATCAGGAGTCTTCTGTTGAAAAATTTGGCTTCAGCAGCAAATAGCACCGCTTGTTATTGGCTCTTGCTTGTCATCCTCACAAACACACCCATTCTACCCTCACCTATTGTACACGTTTTTTGTGGAAGAGGAAACTGGAGTATCTGGATGAAACTGGTGCAGGCACAGGGAGAACACGCAAACTCCACCTTCTTAACTCATTGAGTGCCACAAACGTAATTTTACGTACAGTGCCCCCATGCGTTGAGTGCCAAAACGTAATTTTACGGAAATGCTATTCTTTTTTTTTTTGAAAGTAGAAACCCTAACACACATTGGGCCTCATGTATGAAACTTGCGTACGGCCAAATCAGGGTGTAAATGATGCGTATGCAAAATATTTACACTTTTCCGCATTTATCAATCTGGACGTGAGCGTACGATACGCAAAAAATATACGCCAGGTCTGGAGGTGGTGTAAATGTGTACGCTCATTTCAACCTTCATTACAACACGCTAAAACACGCATAAAATACAAGATTTGGACAAAAATAAACATATTCCCACTCTGACAAGATTATAGGCCCACCTCTCACATTACAAATATGCAATTTTACGATGTTATGTTAGGGCTAGTTTGTGTTATTAAATAACGTGCAAGATGTCAAACTTAGTCTCCTACAAATGTGTGGATTGTCATACAGTAGGTCCCACTTCGTTTTGTCGCCTTTCACGCGTGAATCACACGAGACTCACGTGTGATTCACGCGTCTTTTATTTATTTTTTCCCCAGTGATGCTGCAATGACCCGAACAACGACCAGGTGGCACGTGTGAGCAGGGTTAGGAAAATTGGCTAGGAAAATTTCTGTGGCTTTATAGCTCAATGATAAAGAGGTGGACTCTGGTGTGAGAGGACTCGGGTTCAAGTACAGTCTATGACACTTTTGATTTTGTTGACGTTTACATTTTTTCTAAAACATACTTAGTAATTAGGCCAACACATTTAAAATAGTTGCTAGACTGTATTAAACTGTTGTAAACTTCACAATCTGCACCAACCAAAGTGCAGGAAAAAAATGCAACTTTATTCAGTAACGGAGTAATCTGATTCATATACTCCCCCCGCTAATAAAATTTGAGGATTGGCCGGGGCTCGAACCCCGATCTTCCAAGCGGAAGACTTGGACAATCCCACTACGCCACACAGGCGCTGGAGAAAACACTGGATCTAATAGGAAAGACCGCTGAGTGAATGAGCCGTGCGTATGTGCGGGACGCTTAAAATGCCTTATATGCAAGTTAATGCAAATGTTTGCCATATGATCTGCTACTCCTGTGCATTTTAGAATTCCTAATTAATGGTAGCTATATGTAACATGTGTAGTTTAAATTTTTGTATTGCTAATCAAAGTAAAAGTATTCTAAATAATCCGTGTACCCTTCGATCATTAGTTATTCCGTTTCAAAATAAAATCAGAAAAACAAATTTTCCATTCGTTTATTGTTATTTTCCTTTTCTAAATCAAATTGGAAAATCAAATCCTTTATAATCCGTGTAAATTTGTGTACCCTTCGATCATTAGTTATTCCGTTTCAAAATAAAATCAGAAAAACAAATGTTCCATTCGTTTATTGGTATTTTTGTTTTCTAAATCAAATTGGAAAATCAAATCCTTTATGCTTCAATATCAATGTGTTTGTTTTGGCTCTAGTTGTTTAAAATTCTCAAAAGAATTATGGCATTACTATTATTTCGTTTTATTATTATTTGCGACACCGGAAGAGAGAAGAGACCTCGCGGAAGGGGGGCTACAGACGCGGGGGTGGGACTCCCCTGGTCCTACCCGCGGTGTGAATTTGACGCGCGGGGGATAAAGGACCAGAAAGTTATGGCCCTTGGAAACCACCGGGGGACCGCGCGTCTACCATCCGCCCAAGAGCGCTCATTTTGGGGGAGGAAAACCTCGGCTTCCAGGGCTTGTCAAAAACGAACCAGGGGTGCTAGAGACACGGGGTTTTCACCCACGCACTCCTCCGGTTCTGGGCTATCACCGGGGAGCGCTTTGCTCCCGCTCAGACCCAGGCCTGAGCGCTCATTCTGGGGGAGGAGAGGACCGCAGCAGCAGGGTCAGGAGGCACGCTGCTCCATACCCCCGTGCTTACGGCCATACCACCTTGAGAATGCCCGATCTCGTCTGATCTCGGAAGCTAGGCAAGGTCGGGCCGCGGGGGCCAGCCGCGTATAGTGGGCATATCGTTGATTGGCACTGAACTGAAACTCTATTTTCTATACAGATTGTTTTGTCAAATACTACTGTTTGCCCTGAAATATGATCAATAAAAAGAAAGACTTCAATAATGTATGACATTATAATATATTTATTGTGAACAGATGAAAAAAGAGATATTTACAAATTTAAGAAATACACTTAGAAGAAAAACAACAACATGCTATCTTTATCTTCTTAAACTAGTATTTGTGTGATGAGCCCTGTGACTGTGACGGCTGAGAGCTGACTATACAGAACTGTAGATGCAGACTTTACAAATGAAATTATATAATTAGATGTAATCAATATTAAGTATATATTTACATAATAATTAGAATATTTATAAATATTTATGAACAGACAGGTATAATATAGTAACTATATACAATAGCACCAATAGACAGCAGATAGCTCATTTATTTACACGCCACCTTTCCCTCTCCCGGTCATAAAAAGGAGACTGCTGGAACATCTGCGTCTCCATTCCCTGGTCCTTGTACAGGGAGAATACTTTGGCAGGGCAGTAGATGTATTTTCCTGACAGACCAGGGAATTGTGTATGAATGTGAGGACTGTTTGGTCCCTGCTTCAGCTGCAGTTTGCAGAACCCGCACTTTCTCCCAGTGGCAGGAGACTCATCACTCTTCCTTTTCTTCTCCTGCCGCTCATTCACTCTCTGCTGCGTGGCCTCCAGCTCTCTCTGGCAGAACTCAGTGTCCATAAAGTCTCGGAATGGCATCCTGGAGTTGGTCAAACCCTCTGTGCGATAGGTGTTATAGACCTTGGTGGAGCAATAGAAATACCTGGTAGGACCCTGCTGGTAAAACTCGTGGATGGAGCTGCCATCGCCCTCATATTTGGATTTTGGCTGGCCACAAGACAGGCATTTCTTTGTGTGGGGTTTATTTGCTGGAGGCTGCTGCTGCTTTTCCAAGATCCGCTGCACAACCTTCTCTATGGCCTCCTCAGACAGCGGTGACATGAGAGTCTGAGCAGGGTTCACTGCTGCAGGGGGCATGGTGACAACAGGCGCTGTGCTGGTCTTACTGCCTGCTGTGAGCGATGTACTCCCCCAGCACTTCAGCCTTGTCTGAGGCATCACCTCCTCTCACTCGCACCAGAGTGAGGGCGTTCTCCCTCACCACCTCCTCCCTCAGAGGAGCACCGCACTCCCTCATGGACGGGTCGTCCCTGATCTTCCTCGCCTCCTCCGAAGGGTCCTGCAGCAGGAATCCACGTGGGCCCTTGCCAAAAATCACAGTGACGCGGCCAGGAAAGAATGAAAATGTCTTCACATTGTCTGCAACAACATAAAAAAGATCATAAAATATCTAGCTATAGCATGATAGAGAAGTATGTATAATGTATATATCTTTAGCATAATAAAGAATAAAATAATTAAATTTAGCATTATAAAGAAGCATGAATCCTGTATAATCTAGAGAAGACATATACAGTTGTATGTTTACATCTGGACATTAGCAGCATGAGGCTCTGGGATACAGTTATAGAAGGAAAATATGAACTGGTAAAACACTAATATGCAGTTAGTTTACGACAATGTATAATTCATTTTCAACTCAATGTGTTGCTGAACTATAGAAATGTGAAATACATATAGATAGTACACACATCAACAATAATTAGCTAATAATAATTAGCTAGCGCTGGAAATACTACTACAACCAGACGTAAACAAACTGCATTACTGTATACAGTAGAATACAGTGAATACAGATTGTTTGACAACGCAGAGAAAGTGTTTTCTTTACAATATTGATCCAAACAGAGAGATCTACGAGCATCAGCAACAAACATATGACACGGAGGTAAACAATCATAAACAGCGCACTGCACACTCGAGATTTAAACTACAGACGTGTGTGAACGATCTACGCACAATATGAGAGATTTATGGAGTGAAACATAAAGAACGAGCACAAAAACATTGTGTTTATCAGAGGAGACTTACCGAGTGCGTGTGTAATCCAGAATGAATGGAGAAAGCCGGCTCTCTCTGTTTGAGAGCAGCGCCCACAAAGTTTTCCCCATAGTCCTTGGATGGGAGACCGCCTGGGAATACCAGGTGCTGTAAGCATTTTGCCCCTGGAGCTCGGGCCTGGGGGCGAGCTCAACAACAGCGCGAGTTGTTGTCGTGTAGTTGAGTTGAGTTGAGTGCAGCTTGCAGTTGTTTCCGTCTCTCACCACTCATCATTTCCGGTAGCATATCAAACAAAATAATGGAAGTTGTTTTAGTAGTGTTTGTTTCCACTGCATAACAAAGAAATGGGTGAATATTTCATTTAGAATGTTTTGATTTTCCAATTTAATTTAGAAAAGGAAAATAACAATAAACGAATGGAAAATTTGTTTTTCTGATTTTTTTTTGAAACGGAATAACTAATGATCGAAGGGTACACGGATTCGTGTACAATCCGTGTACCCTTCGATCATTAGTTATTCCGTTTCAAAACAAAATCAGAAAAACAAATTACGTGGTTGTTTTATTGTATTTCCATTTTCTAAATTAAATTGGAAAATCAAAACATTCTAAATGAAATATTCAC